GAGATCTTCTATCTTGATCTTAAATGATTTAGAATTCTTATTTGAGTATTTTCCTTATTTTTATCGTAGTATTTTCTTTCACATCTCAACCCTGTCAGCTCTTCTTCTCATCTACTCCGTACTTTATAATCTCGTGTTTTCTTTTCGTTCATTTTTCTTCCTAAAAAAAAAGAAACAAAGTTTCCTTTCTTGGAGAGTCATAAACCAACATGGAGGTAAGAAACAAAATTTCCTTTCTTGTTTTGGTTCAGTGCGCCATGTTTGTGTTCGTGAAGGGTCATAGGTGGGGCTCGATCGCCTGCTGGATGGGTTTCAATCTTGAATTGGTGATTGAATTCCCCTATTGAGACGTCTTTTCACTTCTTTTCTTTTAATCTTCCATTATGTTGGTATTAATTTGAAGGCTAAAAATGTAATTTCACATTGATTATATTCTTTTTTTGCCATACACAACTCCAGAAGCTGTTTCTGATGCATCTTTTGTGAATTCTAGTCGTTTTCTACTATAACTATTTATGATCTACAGATATAATCTTTCGTCGGAATCCTAATCCACATTCATAGTCATTATCGTTGTGTCGACATCAGAATAAGTCACTGGACAAGGTTGATGTCAAATTACACTTTTAGCTATAAAATTAACATCAACGTTAGAGAATGTCAAATAAGGACTGGTTGCAGAAATGTACCCACAAAAGAAACACCACGATGGTAATATTTGATAATAGAAGACTAAATATGAAAAATCGTTGTTATAAAAGACCAATTATAAAATTTACTCTTTTTCTTAACAATGCACAGTGACATTTTTTAGAATAAAGAAAATAGAATTTTATTATGAGGCGAATGAAGGATTGTGCTTTTTATTTAGAGGATTTTACTTAAATAGCGCTAAAACATAATGATTTTCTCTAAATAGCATCATGTGTGTTTTTTTCAATGTAGCACTTTTAATCATTATCCATTAGTCATTATTAAAGTAAATATTCACCATCACTGGACATTATTTCTTCTTTTGGATATTATTAAGTGCTATTTAGAGAATAAAACAGTTTAAGTACTATTTAAGAAAATGACTTAAATTTTAATGCTATTTAGTATATATAGTTCTTTTTTATTTATGCCTAAAATAATCGAAAAAAGATGTGTGTGTGTCACACGTGTGTGTGTAGAAGTGTCCATTGCAAGATGGTTAGTAAAATTCGGTACCCACAGGTTTTATAAAGCGGTTGGCCTGTATTTTATACACTACTTCACACAGGAGACTGGTTGTCGTCCCCGGAATATAAAGGTTCTATCTGTAATTGAGATCGAGAAATACTAATAATTAATAGTACAATTCAACAACACTTGCAATTAATTACTAAACCTTATTATTATTATTATTATTATTATTATTATTATTATTATTATTATTATTATTATTATTATTATTATTATTATATTTACAAAAAGAAACGCATTTGGCCGGTAATTTGTGTTTGTATTATACAGGTGTAGCAGCTAACTAGCTAGGATAATGAAGATATTGTTTTCATCATCAATAATGTCTCCTTTACTGCCGCCCTGTAATCCCATGCTGAAGCAGCCCCCCATGGAGACTAAACAAATTTCAGCTTCATCATCATCATCATCATCATCATCATCATCTGGGTATGGCAATCCTCCATGGAATTTCAAAGGCAGGCAAGTCCATCTAGCTCCTTCATTCACTTCTCTTTTATTTCTGCAATTATTTACTACTTCCTCCGTCTCAAAATGATTTTTCATTTGATTTTTTTATTAACTTTAACCTCGATAGATAGAAAAAAATAATACATTATCTTTCGATATGAATGTAATATCAATAGTTTCGTTATAAATTAAACATAGTTTTGAAATATTAACTTTTCATAAAATATATTCATGTATAAATATAGATATCTATAGTCAAAGTATTACTTTGGTCATTTGTCTCTTACTTTGGACGGATTGATAGCATGGGTGCCATCCGTGGTTTACAAATTGGGCGTCAAAACCCTCTCTATTTTTAAAAGTTATTTAAAAAGTTCTTATGATTTCTAAATAGAGCGCACTTGCCCCCCTTACCTATTTTTAAAGCAAAAATGACATTTATGCCCATTCTTTTCCTCGATCTTGAATTTTTCCAATTTTATTTTCCTTTATAATGCAAATATATAATATAAAATATATGCTTCCCATCTCGAATTAAAATTTTTCATAATGTATTTTTGAAAACAAAAGATTTTTTTGGAGAATGTTACAAAAGGAAATGAAAAATAAAATATTATGTACAACGTAAAAATAATAATTAAAAAAGGTAATGAAAAGAAAGAAAATATAAAAAAGTAGTCTTTGTTAAATATATATTCTATATTTAATGTATATATATTGTTTCCTATTATAGTCTCCTACCTTGTATAAGATTAGGAATACTTGTATATATAAAGACATGTACTCCCACACAATTAATCAAGGAAATTAACCTTTCTACGTCTACGTGGTATTAGAGCCTAAAAACACAAAACCCTATGTTAGAAAAACGTCCCAACGCTAGAGGGGGGGGGGGTGAATAGCGTTTGATACGAAAAACGACGCAGGAATAAAAATTAAAAGCGTAAAGCAAAGAGCAAGGAAGAGGCACACCGTTTTTACCTTGGTTCACCATAACTTGTGGCTAGTCCAGCCTCCCGAGAGACTCTCTCGAGCTACACTACTATCTCGTTAAGCTTAACGGTGCTTAACAATCCCGTACAACTTGAGAGTTCGAGTCACACGAACCTCAACGAACCTTCGAAGGAAACAACCCTTCCTTCGAACAACAAGAGAAATATTTTCTCTTGTCAAGTGTCTAAGAACACTAAATCACTCAAGAACTAAATTCTCTTTTAGAGTGGATAATGAGTAACTAAGAACGCTCACAACACAAGCTTCACAAAAATGGCTCTCAAAAAGCTATGAATAAAGAATGAATGATTTGCAATGAAAGAGTAGGAGTTGTGAAGTAATGTGATATGTAAAACAGACCCAAACACCCCATTTTATAGTGGAAAAATAGGCTCCAACGGACCAAAACATTTAAGGGGTGATTGGCACAATTTGTGGGATTTTATTAAATTTGGATCTGCTGAAATTCACCCAGACAGCGCTGTCCTAGGCTTGGACATCGCTGTTCTAGGCTTCGTTTTTAAAATTGGGAAGCAACGGTCATGCCAACAGCGATGTCTAAAAACCTCTACATCGCTGTTTTGGCTGTTGACTTCCAAACTAGGAAAGTTTTAGCCTTAAATTCCTTCCAACGGTCAGGTCCCTATATCGATGTTCGTTACTTGAACATCGCTGTTTAGGTCTGACTTTGAAGGTGGAAAGTTTGGCCTGACAGCGCTGTTGCTGGGTCAACATCGCTGTTCAAAAACTTTCTGCCCGAAGCATTTTTTTTTGGCTTAGGTTGGACAGCGATGTAGGGTAGTCTACATCGCTGTTCCAGATGTTTCTGGAAACCCAACCTTGGCTCAACAGCGATGTCTAACATCCAACATCGCTGTTGGAAGACTTAATGTCAAACCATGGTTTTCAGCTACCCAATCCAGACAGCGCTGTTGGTTGCACCAACATCGCCGTTGGGTTGGTTTAGCCAGACTCATGGTTGGTTTAGTCAGCCGTTAGTCGATGTCAAAAATGTAAGTTCTCCAAAATAAAAACAAAGTATTGAAAATGTTTGTTTACTGCATTTTGCTAAGAAATCAAGTAAAACATTTTGAAAACCACGTCATTTAGTTGAAAACCACGGCTAGCCAAGTTTACGCTGTTTCGCATGGTTTTCAGTAAACGACCAAAAACGAAAGGTGGTTTTTGAAGCGTTTTTGTTGGAGAACTATTTAAACATGCCTAGAAGTAAAAACCAATCATTAAAAGTTGAAAACCACTTGGTTGGTTCGGACGCCAAAAATCAACGGCGATAACCGAAAGTCGAACACCGGTTTCTGAAGACCGAACGCTGGATGGCTTGGTTTTTGGTTTGGGCGAACTCCAAGTGTTTTTAGGCAGGTTTAAGACTTAAGAAAACCATTTTGAATATGCAAAAAAAATATTTTGATGAAATGAGCCTAGAGAGCCATGTTTTGAAAGTTTGTGCTGGTCTTGATCACATTAAAACCGACTCAATATAATTCTAAGTCTTCGTTCTTGGTTCTTGGTTCTTAGTTCATCATGCCATGTTCCTTCTCCTTGGTTTTGCTCAGTTTAACCTTGTTATTGTCACGGCGGTTTGGCATTATCAAAACCTGTCATAAAACGAACACGGCTTAGTACGACATAGGCGTAAACCCGTGTTCCAACAATTTCCCCGTTTTTGATAATGGCAAACAAGACGGGGATATGCATACTAAGGGATATTTGACTTTGAAAAGTGTGAAAAAGTTCCCCCTTAATTTTTGCTTAAAAAATACTACCTCCGTCCCACTCTTTTTGTCCAGTTTTGACTTTTGGACCTGTTCATCTAAGCACTTTGACTCATCAAATTCTCTCAATGTGTAAGTCTAAAAATAGTCATGTGTGATCTTGTTTGATTTGTCTTAACATATAGATTATTAATATATAATTTTTATAATTTTTTAATATACAAATTACAAGATAAAATGGATTAAAGAAGTGCATTGGATGGTGTGCAAAAATGAAAGTGGACAAAAAGAGTGGGACGGAGGGAGTAGTCATATTAAAANTGACTTTTGGACCTGTTCATCTAAGCACTTTGACTCATCAAATTCTCTCAATGTGTAAGTCTAAAAATAGTCATGTGTGATCTTGTTTGATTTGTCTTAACATATAGATTATTAATATATAATTTTTATAATTTTTTAATATACAAATTACAAGATAAAATGGATTAAAGAAGTGCATTGGATGGTGTGCAAAAATGAAAGTGGACAAAAAGAGTGGGACGGAGGGAGTAGTCATATTAAAATCAAACGATCCCGTTTTTAGGGACGTTCCCCCTTAATGTATGCATAACCCTTTTCTTCCCCCTTTTGACATTAACAAAAAGATAAAAGATAATTTTATTTAAATTGGGAAATAGCGGAGTACAACGGAAGCGATTAAAAAAACAGGACACAAATAAGGAGAGATAGAAATTCTAGGGGTGTCCTAGTCTTCGTCTTCGGTTTCCTCCTCCTCGTCGTCGACGTCCATCTAATCCCCATCGATGGCATCGTCGAACTCATCTTCGTCCGGGGAGCTTGACGGGGCATAGGAGGCATCGTCTTCGTCCTCGTCACCGTACACTTGCCCAAAGAATGTGCCATGGTACGGTGGGGGGACGTAGTTAACGCGTTGGAAGTACGCGTTCATGGCGTACCCTTGGCGTTGGACCGCTTCGTCGAGCCGCTCAAGGTAGCCATCCATCCCGTCAACTTTGAAGTGTAGCCGGTTGAGGGAGTCGGCGAGGTTGGCCCGGGCCTGGGGTTCGGCTGGGCCAGCGGCAGGGGCAGTGCGGCGTGGCGCGGCAGTGGCAGGCGCGGCGTTGTCCGACCGCTTGGTGAAGGTTTGGGTGCTGATCGTCCAAAGCTTCGTGGCCTTTGTGAGCGGGCCAACAGTGGTGGTTACCTTGAACCGTTCAAGGATGTCCATCACCACAAACGGGTATGGGAGGAGGTGATCGTGGTCGGTGGACGCGGCGACCGACATGTTGATCATGACAAATTTTGCCCAATTGATCGGGGCCGTGTGCATGATCGCATAGATGAGCTTGAGGTCCTCAGCGGACATGATCGTGTGCCCATGCTTCCGGGGCTTGATGATTTGGGACACAATGTAGAGAAGGAGCCGGCTCTCGGGGGTTGCGGAGTGGATGGTGGGGCGGCCTGAGGCATGGCGGATGAGCTCGGTGATGCCAAGCTCGTTGAGAATAAGGCCCTCGTTGTTGAGCACCCAGTCCTCTCCGCCATAGTGGGAGACGTCGTCGCCTTGGTAGGGGAGGCCGGCGATGCGCCCAAGCTGCTCAATGGAAAGCTCAATCGGCGTGCTCTTGACAAGAGAGTAGAGCACGTCGTCCTCACGCCGGAGGTTGGAGTAGAAGGCCCTGATCAGCGCCGGGTTGATCTCTTTCCGAGCCCGGGAGACGAACGGCCATAGGCCGGCTTGATGGAGCTGCGCGTCTAAATCGTCGTAGCCCTGCAGCTCGGGGAAGCGCTCCGGGACGATTCGCGGGGGAGCCACAACCCGTTTAGAGAAGAAAGTGAGGAAACGGGTTCGCTCCTCCTCGGAATCGAACCAGAGGTACGACCCGTCGCCACAGTAGAGGCGCTCCTCGGAATTGGTTGCCGGTGCCCGGGATTTGGACTTGGATTTGCCGGAAGTTCCTGCCCTGCCCTTATCTTTGCCCATGATGAAGATTTCTCAAGAAAAAGATTAGAGAAGATGAAATATGCAAGGGGATTGAAGAGATTTGTGTTTGTGTGTGTAAAAGTGAAGAGAGGGAGTCCCAATTTATAGGGAAAAAGGTTTCCAACGTCCAAATTTTCAAAAAAATGGCTGTTGGAGCAATAAATGCTGTTGCCAACGGGTATTTTTTTGAAAAATTTAGTTAGAACAGCGATGTCCCCTATGCTACATCGCTGTCCAGACAGTGCTGTTAAGCTTCCTGACAGCGCTGTTGTGCGACTAGTTTTTAGAAACAAGTGTCAAATTGACAGCGATGTTGGGTATCCTACAGCGATGTTCCCGAAGTTTCTGGAAGTATGTGAGGGGTTGAACCCATTAGAACAGCGCTGTTGGGTTTCCCTACATCGCTGTTTTGCGATAGAAAAAAAATTTGTAAAAATGGACAGCGCTGTTGAATAGGGGGACATGGATGTTTTGAAAAGTTTCTGGTTTTGGTTGAAAACAAGGTGTTTTGGGTAGACAGCGATGTTTTGAAAAAGAACATCGATGTTCAAAAAGTTTCTGGAAAGCAAAGGTAAAAGGACTCCCTGTGACAGCGATGTTGACTTGTTGTACAGCGTTGTTGGCTCAAACTGGTTGACGGTGTTTCTCTCAACAGCGCTGTTGGGTCTCCTGGACAGCGCTGTTTGCATGGTTCCCCTGATTTTATGAACGGGGTACCTGCAAAAAAAAAGTTCTCCGACGCTCAAGTTAGTAAACGTTTAACAAGTTAAAATGCACAACTTAGATCATCGTGGAGTCAAGGATTCCGAGTTCACTTCGAATGCGGAAGAACGACTCTTTCTCTAAAGGTTTTGTGAAAATGTCGGCCAGTTGGTTGTGTGTTTCAACAAACTCAATTTCGACATCACCTTTGAGAACATGATCTCTAATGAAATGATGCCTAATGTCAATGTGTTTCGTCCTTGAATGAAGAACGGGGTTCTTCGTCAAGCTTATGGCGCTAGTATTATCACAACGAAGAGGAACATGATTGATACTAAGGCCATAATCCACGAGTTGTTGCTTCATCCAAAGGATTTGAGCACAACAACTACCGGCGGCTACATATTCCGCTTCGATTGTGGATAACGCAACACTGACTTGTTTCTTACTAAACCATGAGACTAGAGAGCTACCAAGTAAGTGGCAAGTCCCACTCGTGCTTTTACGGTCCAATTTGCAACCGGAAAAGTCCGAGTCGGAGTAACCAACGAGATGACAAGAAGAGCCTTTTGGATACCACAGTCCAACGTTAACCGTGCCGACAAGGTATTTCATGATCCGTTTCACCGCCGTTAAGTGCAATTCCTTCGGACACGATTGATACCTTGCGCAAAGGCATATGCTAAACATGATGTCCGGCCTACTAGCGGTAAGATAGAGAAGGGATCTGATCATACCTCGATACTTTTTGACTTCAACTTCCTTACCTTTCTCGTCTTTGTCAAGATGGTCAGACGTGCTCATCAGGGTTGCCATGGCTTTGGCGTTGTCCATTTCAAACCGTTTTAGGAGCTCCTTGCAATATTTAGCTTGGCAAATGAACGTGCCATCTTTCATTTGCTTGACTTGGAGTCCCAAAAAGAATGTGAGCTCGCCCATCATTGACATTTCGAATTCACTTGTCATTAACGTTGAGAATTCCTTGCACAGAGACTCGTTAGTAGCACCAAATATAATATCGTCTACATAAACTTGAACCAAAAGGATGTTATTGTTTTTACTCTTGATAAAAAGTGTAGTGTCAACTTTTCCCCTTTGGAAACCACTATCCAAAAGAAATTTGCTCAAACGTTCGTACCAAGCACGGGGTGCTTGTTTAAGACCGTAGAGCGCTTTCTTGAGTTTGAAGACATGGTCAGGAAACTCAAAGTTTTCAAACCCCGGGGGCTGGTCAACATACACTTCCTCTTGAATAAAACAATTGAGGAAAGCACTCTTAACATCCATTTGATAAAGTTTAAAATCCATAGACGAAGCAAAAGCAAGGAGTAAGCAAGTGAATAGCTTCTAAACGTGCTACGGGTGCATAGGTTTCTTCAAAATCAATACCTTCTTCTTGATTGTAGCCTTTAGCTACGAGCCTAGCTTTGTTTCTAGTGATTATTCCATTTTCATCAAGTTTATTACGGAACACCCATTTCGTACCAATAATCGTACGATCATCGGGCCTTGGCACCAATTCCCAAACGTCATTCCGTTTGAATTGGTTTAGCTCCTCTTGCATAGCCAAGGTCCAATGTTCGTCGTTTATTGCTTCAGAAATGGTTGTAGGTTCAATTTGAGAAACAAAAGCCATGTGTCGTACGGTGTCCCTTAGTGAGTTACGAGTACTTACCCCGCGGTTGATGCTGCCGATTACCTGGTCGAGTGGATGGTTCTTGTTCGTTCTCCAAGCGACGGGAAGCTCGGTTTCGTCTTGTTCCTGGGCTTCCTCGTGTTCTTCTTCGTCAGCTTGATCCTCATTTTCGACCATCACTTGAGGTGTTTCCTCAGGTTGTGGTTGCGGGTTGGTGTATAATGGCGTGTCTTCCTCATCGTCTTCAAGTGTATTCTTTCAAGTGAGTCTGCAAGATCATCACAAATAGCCTTTCTCGCCAAGCGAGTATTATCTTTGGAAAACACAACATGAGGGGACTCCTCAATAGTCAAAGTACGTTTATTAAACACTCTATAGGCCTTGCTACGAAGTGAGTAACCAAGAAAAATCCCTTCGTCCGACTTGGCATCAAATTTTCCCAAGTTATCTTTGCCGTTATTATGAATAAAACATTTGCAACCAAAGACTCTAAGATGGGAAAGGTTTGGCTTTCTCCCTTTGTATAATTCATAGGGCTTTTTCATGAGTATCGGTCGAATGACGGCTCGGTTTAACACGTAGCTCGCGGTACTCACGGCATCCGCCCAAAAATACTTAGGGATTTTTGCCTCATTGATCATAGTTCTAGCCATCTCTTCGAGACAACTATTTTTACGTTCCACCACTCCATTTTGTTGTGGTGTACGTGGGGCTGAGAAGTTATGATCAATGCCAAGTTCGTCACACAAATCTGAAAACAGATTTCCTTCGAACTCTCCCCCATGGTCGCTTCTTATGGCTACTATGGTTGTGTCTTTTTCATTTTGAACATTCTTTAGAAAATTTTTGAAAACATGAAATGCCTCACTTTTATGAGTAAGAAACAAGGTCCATGTAAACCTAGAGTAGTCATCGACAATCACAAACGCAAAGTAATTACCACCAAAACTCTTCGTTCTAGAAGGACCAAAGAGATCCATGTGCAAAAGTTGAAGCGGTCTAGACGTTGAAACAATGTTTTTAGACTTGAACGAAGCCCGGACTTGCTTCCCCTTTTGACATGCATCACAAATGGTGTCTTTTTCAAACTTGAGTTTTGGAATGCCAATTACTAAGTCTTGTGAAACCAATTTATTCAAGAGGTTCATGTTCATGTGAGCTACTCTTCGGTTCCATAACCAAGTGTCTTCCTCTTTACTCATGAGGCACTTAGCAAAGCCGGAAGGAGATTTGTCTAAGTTAACCATATAAATATTATCGATTCTAACACCACGTAGAATAACCTTATTGTCACTAAGGCGTTCTACCGTGCATGATTTTGAGTCGAAGGTCACTTGATGTCTTTAGGCACACCTATGAATCACATCAATGAGTTTTAGGTACCCAATTTACGTTGGGTCCTCGTGTGTTAGGTGTGTGATGGTAGTGTGCTTGATTTTCTGATAGGTGCCTATGCCTAGTGTAACAGACGAGAGCAATATGGCCTATCCTATTACAATAGTGGCAAACTACGTTGGGGTTGTACATGTGCCTAGGTTCATAAAAGTTAGAGGGTTTAACCATCCTGTTCCTATTTTGTGAAAAAGATGGTCTTTGAAAATTTTGAAATTGGCCTTTTCTAGATGCTCTAACATTATTTCTCCTAATTTGAGAAAACTTGTTTTTATGCACAAAATCATTTTTCTTAGGTTGTCTACCATGGCTATTTTCATTCCTAGGTTTTAGTCTAGGTTGTCTAGTGTCCTTAGGTTGACTAGGTTTTCTATTATCTTGATTTTTAGGTTTCTTATGTTGAACCTTAGATGATTGTCTAGGTGGTGGCTCAACATTTTCTTTAGCTTCATTTTTATTGAAACCTATTCCTTCCTTAGAAAAATGCATAGTGTCAAGAAGTAAATTTAAGTCTTTGTGAGGAGTATTAAATTTCTTGACCGTGCTCTCAAGTTTAGTGACTTGTTCTTTTAAAGCTTTACAAGACTCACATTCACTTGAGGAACTTTCCGGTTTGTCAGCGCTTCTTTTACCAAAAAAATTGTTTTCTTGTTTTAGTTTTTCATTGTCTTTTTCCAATTTTTCAAAATCGTTTTCAAGTGTAGAAAGATGTGTCTTCAAAGATTTATTCGTTTTAGAAGCGCTAACAAATTCTTCATAAAGTTCATGAAGCGCTTCTTGCATTTCTTCAAAAGTATAAGAGTCGGAAGAAATGGTACATACCTCTTGGACGTCGTCGTTTTGATCTTCGTGCGCCATGAGGCAAAGATTTGCAGCTTCGTCCTCCTCTTGGTCGTTGATTCGTCGCCGGAATCGCCACCCCAGGAGATGTAAGCCCTTTGCTTCTTGAAGCCGGGCTTGTCCTTGCCGTGCTTGGCTTTCGGACACCTTGGCTTGATGTGGCCAATCTCGCCACAGCCTTAGCACTTGGGAGGACCGTCGTGCTTCCTTCCCCTCTGCTCAAATTCCTGTTTCATGAACTTGTGAAACTTCTTGATGACGAGTCCAAATTCGTTGTCGTCATCGCTAGAAGCCTCTTCCACCGGTTCCTTGGTGGCTTTGAGAGCTATCCCCTTTTTCTTTTGTTCATCCAAAGACGGGGTTAGAATAGTAGATTCATAGGTTTTAAGATTACCTCTTAGCCCGTCGATGGTGACGTTGGAGACTCCAATGGATTCATAGATTGCATCGGATTTTGATCTCCATTCGGGGGTGAGACTTCGCAGGATTTTCCTTACGAGATCCTTGTTGGTATATGTCTTCTTAAGAGCATGAAGATCGTTTATAATCTTTGAGAACCAATCAAACATGTCATCGATTTTCTCACCTTCCTTCATTCGGAACATTTCATATTCTTGGGTGAGAAAATCGATCTTGGCTTCACGCACTTGATCAGTACCTTCGTACGTCACTTCAAGCTTGTCCCACATCTCCTTAGCGGTTGTGCAACAGGAGATCTTTCGGTAGTCGTCAGGGTTGACCGCACAATATAGCATGTTGATGGCCTTTGCATAGTTTTCAACCTTCTTGATGTCTTCGGCATCAAACTCGTCCTCGGTCTTTGGGACGGTGGTTTCTCCCACTTTCTTCATTGGGATTTGCTCGCCATTTTTTATGACCAACCACAATTGGAAGTTGGTGGAACGGATATAGATTCTCATCCATTCCTTCCAATAGGAGTAGTTTTTGCCATCAAAAAGCGGTGGCCTAGAGGTGGATTGCCCTTCGCCAATGCCTGCGTACAAATTTCTAGAAGAAGAGCCCATGATCTTATTCCTCTCAAACGGTTAAGTCTGGAAGAGAGTTAGGCTCTGATACCAATTGTTAGAAAAACGTCCCAACGCTAGAGAGGGGGTGAATAGCGTTTGACACAAAAAACGACGCAGGAATAAAAATTAAAAGCGTAAAGCAAAGAGCAAGGAAGAGGCACACCGTTTTTACCCTGGTTCACCACAACTTGTGGCTAGTCCAGCCTCCCGAGAGACTCTCTTGAGCTACACTACTATCTCGTTAAGCTTAACGGTGCTTAACAAACCCGTACAACTTGAGAGTTCGAGTCACACGAACCTCAACGAACCTTCAAAAGAAACAACCCTTCCTTCGAACAACAAGAGAAATATTTTCTCTTGTCAAGTGTCTATGAACACTAAATTACTCAAGAACTAAACTCTCTTTTAGAGTGGATAATGAGTAACTAAGAACGCTCACAACACAAGCTTCACAAAAATGGCTCTCAAAAAGCTATGAATAAAGAATGAATGATTTGCAATGAAAGAGTAGGAGTTGTGAAGTAATGTGATATGTAAAACAGACCCAAACACCCCATTTTATAGTGGAAAAATAGGCTCCAACGGACCAAAACATTTAAGGGGTGATTGGCACAATTTGTGGGATTTGATTAAATTTGGATCTGCTGAAATTCACCCAGACAGCGCTGTCCTAGGCTTGGACATCGCTGTTCTAGGCTTGGTTTTTAAAATTGGGAAGCAACGATCATGCCAACAGCGATGTCTAAAAACCTCTACATCGCTGTTTTGGCGGTTGACTTCCAAACTAGGAAAGTTTTAGCCTTAAATTCCTTCCAACGGTCAGGTCCCTATATCTGACTTTGAAGGTGGAAAGTTTGGCCTGACAGCACTGTTGCTGGGTCAACATCGCTGTTCAAAAACTTTCTGCCCGAAGCATTTCTTTTTTGCTTAGGTTGGACAGCGATGTAGGGTAGTCTACATCGCTGTTCCAGATGTTTCTGGAAACCCAACCTTGGCTCAACAGCGATGTCTAACATCCAACATCGCTGTTGGAAGACTTAACGCCAAACCATGGTTTTAAGCTACCCAATCCAGACCCATGGTTGGTTGAGTCAGCCGTTAGCCGATGTCAAAAATGTAAGTTCTCCAAAATAAAAACAAAGTATTGAAAATGTTTGTTTAATGCATTTTGCTAAGAAATCAAGTAAAACATTTTCAAAACCACGTCATTTAGTTGAAAACCACGGCTAGCCAAGTTTACGTCGTTTCGGATGGTTTTCACTAAACGACCAAAAACGAAAGGTGGTTTTTGAAGCGTTTTTGTTGGAGAATATTTAAACATGCCCAGAAGTAAAAACCAATCCTTAAAAGTTGAAAACCACTTGGTTGGTTCGGACGCCAAAAATCAACGCCGATAAACGAAAGCCGAACGCCGGTTTCCGAAGACCGAACGCCGGATGGCTTGGTTTTTGGTTTGGGCGAACTCCAAGTGTTTTTAGGCAGGATTAAGACTTAGGAAAACCATTTTGAATATGCAAAAAAAATATTTTGATGAAATGAGCCTAGAGAGCCATGTTTTGAAAGTTTGTGCCGGTCTTGATCACATTAAAACCGACTCAATATAATTCTAAGTCTTCGTTCTTGATTCTTGGTTCTTGGTTCTTTGTTCATCATGCCATGTTCCTTCTCCTTGGTTTTGCTCAGTTTAACCTTGTTATTGTCACGGCGGTTTGGCATTATCAAAACCTGTCATAAAACGAACACGGCTTAGTACGACATAGGCGTAAACCTGTGTTCCAACACCCTAATCAACCTCTCTCTCTCTCTTCCTCCCGGCCTAGTCCCGCCGCCCCCCCCTCCTTGCGCCGCCATCTCCTGCGGCTGCCAAACCAGCGGCTCCCGCCGGTCTCCCTCCCTACCGGTGGTCTCCTCTTCTCTTCCTTCCAACCATGGCCGAAGTTAGGGAGGTCACCTCTAAAAATCTCTCCTCTAAACCCCCCCATCTTGCATTCACAACTCCAATGTGAAACTCCACGTTCCTGTTCAACTCAGCCTCTCTCAACCTAATTACAAAAAGTGGAGTAATTTGTTCCTCCTCCTAGTTTGGCGATTCAATCTTCAGGGCTACATCAACGGCTCTGTCGTCCCCCTCTCTGACGACGACGATGACGATAAATGGTTCCAACTCGATGCTCTTCTACAGGGTTGGATCCTCTCCACTATCACTGATGAAGTCTCAGATCTGGTCATCTACTCTGTCTCCACCCCCTCTGCACTCTGGAAGGTCATCCACAACTTGTTCCACGACAAGAAACATGCTCAAGCTATGCAACTGGAGCATGAATTTCGTACAACCATCAAGGGCAACTCTACAATGGAAGCTTATTGTCAACAACTTCAGAATCTCGCCGATTGCCTCGACGATGTTGATGCTCCCGTCTCTCAACACCAGCTTGTTCTTCAACTACTCCGTGGGCTCCCTGCGGATCTTCAGGACCAAACATCTTTCATGCAATTTAAGGATTCCATGCCGATGTTTATGCAAGTTCGCTCCGCCCCCATGCTCTTGGCAACGGACCACATCGGCCGACTCGGGCACCACTGACCTACTAACGAACCGCGCCGGTGTACACCCTCACAGCGGCACTCACGGCAGTACTCCCGACGGCTATGGCGGACAGCATGGCGGCACCCGCTACGGTGAAGGCAACCCCAGACAGCGTGGAGGCTACGAACGAGGACAAGGACGTGGCGGCAGAAATCGAGGTCGAGGTCGCAGGCGTCAAAACGGCTCAAGGCAACGACAATCCTATGACGGCAACAACACCTGGAACTTACCCTACTCTAACCCTAACTCGGATCTCCTAGGCCCACGCCCCACACCCCCTCCCTATCCCGCC